CCCAGGTGGGTAAGAAAAGTTGGTGAAAAACCTATTGAAGAGGCCTTATGTGCCATGGTTCTTTTGAAATGTTTAAGATTATAATTTTGAAGGAAAAAGTCACCAATTCGTTTAAATTATTTCATCGCAGTGCTTCCGCAGCCAGCCATTTTTTAGGAAACATATTGTGTGTTGATTCCTTTATTTTAATTGGAGCCAAACACTGTCTACTCAGAAGTCACACTGTATTCAATGCAGCTTACTCCCAGGTCAAGATTGGGCAGCCTTACAATGCAATCCTAGGAATTTTTATTCAGAACAAAGTCCCACAGAGTTCAATAGGATTTACTCTCTCGTATGTTCCTGATCATTCTCACAGTTTCTTCCCCTCCTCCTCCTCTCCCACCTTTCTCCCTGACAGGGACTCAAGGCAGCTTACAACTAAATTTTTCTTTCATTCCATTTATCTGTTGAAGGTGTTAATCCCTTTCCTTGCCAATTTTTTCTTTACAGCAATGCTGTGAGGTAGGTGAGGCGGAGAGGTTGTCATAGGCACAAGATAACCAGTCTCAATGTGTACATGATGTCTCTGCATGTGGTCAGATCAAATGAGGAAGAAGCTTCTTGAACAGGATGTCCCTATTTTCATAGGATAAATATTGAGGGTATGCAGGATGTTGGACTAGATGGGCCATTGGAGACACACACTCAGCAAAACACTAACCCCAGACAAAAAGCAGTTCATGCCAAACAATTGTAGCCCAACTTCCCTACACACCACCTGCTGAAGTCACATGGTTGCTGACACATTGTCACGAACAAGACAGACTTACCGTAATGCAAATAAAACCCAGCCAGCGCACATCAATCACTTGCCAGTAATTTCTGACTTTTCCCATGCCTCCATGGTCAGACATAGACATACTTTCACATTTGGATTGTAGCCTAGACGGAAGAAGCATTTAGATCACACCCAGGCAAGAGCCATTCGCTGTGCAGGCCTGCCCCTAGTCACACTTTCCAGACTGCAGCCAAACCAAATATTTACTGTGCAGTCTGTTAAAAAAGAAAGCCCACGACACACAGTCATACATTCAGGATTGCAGCCAATCACTTGTTTGCCTTGCTACAGCAGCTAAGGGTTCAGCTGACTGGGCCTAATTGCAGGGGAGTCCATGTGCAGCTTGACAGAGGCCTCCTGAAGAAACCTCTAGGGCCCTATGTGCCAAAGATACAGTGGTACCTCGGGTTGAGAACTTAATTCGTTCTGGAGGTCTGTTCTTAACCTGAAACTGTTCTTAACCTGAAGCACTTTAGCTAATGGAGCCTCCTGCTGCTGCCGCGCCACTGCTGTGCGATTTCTGTTCTCATCCTGAAGCAAAGTTCTTAACCCGAGGTACTATTTCTGGGTTAGAAGAGTCTGTAACCTGAAGTGTCTGTAACCTGAAGCGTCTGTAACCCGAGGTACCATTGTAGTCTCTATTAAGGTTGTAGAAAGCCCTCTTTCCTGATTTGCTTTGAGACCTAATTCCACAATTCAGAATGGGCCTCAATTCTGTTAAGAGTGATTTGGACCCACTCTGACGTAATTTGGACCCAGAAATCAAATCAACATTCAGAAAACTGAATCTGTGGTCCAGGGCTGAGTGGTATCTGGTTTCAACATTGTGATATGTCATCAGCTAAGCATCGTGATATACCAATATATCCCAATGTCTGTAACAAGGATGGACCTGTTGTTGTTTAGTCGTTTAGTCATGTCCGACTCTTCATGACCCCGTGGACCAGAGCACGCCAGGCACTCCTGTCTTCCACTGCCTCCTGCCGCTTGGTCAAACTCATGTTGGTAGTTTCGAGAACACTGTCCAACCATCTCGTCCTCTGTCGTCCCCTTCTCCTTGTGCCCTCCATCTTTCCCAACATCAGGATGGAACTATGTAGAGGCAAATGGGGTAATATCCTGGCAACTGCTACCTAGACATAGAGAAGTATGGAGGAATAAGCAATGGAGAAAGAGTGAGGTGCTGGAACAGGGAGCCCCACACCAAGAGTAAGAAGAAGACTTCCCCTCTCTTCCCTTCCCTACACATTGCCTTACAGGTGGCCTGTGAGGCAGGAATGGAGTTGCTTTCTGCATCCCAAATCCAATTCAAGGTGACTCCTTGCCCTGTGGGAAAAGGGGAGGGCAGGTGGACAAAAGAGCTCACCTTCTCGTCCTTTCACCATTTCCCCCCAATTTCCCCCCCATTTTATTTTACATTTGAAACCACTGGGGCCGAGTATGGGGGCACTAGGGGCTCCAGGCCCCTCAATATTTTGAATCAGCCCCCCTCCAATATTGAGGGGGCCAACATCCACCGCCGAGTGGCCTCCGAGCTCCCCAGCCCCAACCAGGAGTCAGGAGGGGACTGGGATGAGTGAGAGAAAAGATCGCCTTTCACGCATCTCTCTCCCCACCCCCCCGCGCATACCCCGTGAAGGAGGTGGAGCAAGGAGCCCAGCGCTGCACTCCTCCCCGTGCCATGTCCCACTGGGCAGGACGTGTCACGTGATGCACCCTTTGCATGGTGCATTTCGCTCTTGGGGAGATGAGGGGGTAGCCAAGGTGGAAATGGGAGTTTGTTCCTGCTTGCCTTCAGAGCGAGGGGTATGAGCCGCAGTTAAGCAGCTAGCCATGGTTATGGGGAGGTACTGAGGCTGGGACTGTTCTGCCACTGGAGGGAAGGGGGGCAGAAGGCAGCTGAAAGGGAAGGCATTCAGAGGGAGCATCCTGCTTTCCTCACCTTCTTGACACTTGGAAGGTGGCAGCCACCAACCTCACCGTCCCCTGGAGTGTTGAACACTGTTTGTGATATATTGCCAGATCAAATATTCTGAAACCGTTATCGCGATGGCACATTGCCCAGCTCTACTGCCGTCCTCCTTTTGACTTGCACTGGGAAACCAAAATGTAACAAGCTTTCTCATGTAAAAGGTAAAGGTAAAGGGACCCCTGACCATCAGGTCCAGTCGTGGCCGACTCTGGGGTTGCGGTGCTCATCTCGCTTTATTGGCCGAGGGAGCCGGCGTACAGCTCATGTGGCCAGCTTCCGGGTCATGTGGCGAACCAGAGCAGCACACGGAAATACCATTTACCTTCCCGCCGGAGTGGTTCCTATTTATCTACTTTCACTTTGACGTGCTTTCGAACTGCTAGGTTGGCAGGAGCAGGGACCAAGCAACGGGAGCTCATCCCGTTGCAGGGATTTGGACCACCGACCTTCTGATCAGCAAGTCCTAGGCTCTGTGGTTTAACTCACAGCGCCACCCGCGCCCCTCTTTCTCATGTAGGGGCATGGTATTTGGAGACATGATAACTCCTCAAGGGGAGATTAACCCTGACAAATTTCAGACAGGTAGATAGGTGGGTGTGCTATGCTAGCCACCATAAAGTCCCCCCCCCAACAAATAAAATAACTTATTGAAAAGTAAAATGGCCACAACTGTCTAGTTATTTCACATACATACATACAACTTGCAGAAATGGTAAAGGGTATGAAGCTTATTAAATTCTGCCAGTTATCATGCTCCTGTTTGGCATGTCAGGTGGCTGACAACTATGCCAGTGCATAATGCCTCCTCAAATAACCACCTGGTATTTGGAGTAGGCTTGCTTCTAGTCCCATCAGATGGAGGACAGGGAGGAATCAGGATTGGCAGCTGCTGATACCACCCACCACTGCTCCAAGCAGGACTAGATTAGATCAGGCGTAGGCAACCTAAGGCCCGGGGGCCAGATCTGGCCCAATTGCCTTCTAAATCTGGCCTACGGATAGTCTGGGAATCAGCGTGTTTTTACATGAGTAGAATGTGTGCTTTTATTTAAAATGCATCTCTGGGTTATTTGTGGGGCATAGGAATTCCTTCATTCCCCCCCCCCCAAATAATCTGGCCCCCCACAAGGTCTGAGGGACAGTGGGCCGCCCCCCTGCTGAAAAAGTTTGCTGACCCCTGGATTAGACTAACCTGACTGGTGAAGAAACCAGGCTGGCCAGTGCTGCTGCTACTACCTGCACCTCTGCTGCCTCTGTGACACAATTAACACATATATGCATGTTCTTAGGGGTGAGATAAATTGTGTGAGTGTGAGACGAATGTGTGTGAGAGAGAAGGCACAGAACACAATAGTGTGCATACGTGGAAGAGAATGTACGCACATCCATGTGTTGTGAGAGGTAATGTGCATGCATATGGAGTTGTGAAGATGAACATGAATAAGTTGGGTATGTCTCTATGTGAGAGGAAATAAGTGAGAGTAAGAGGAGGATGGAATGTGTATTTGCATGCTCTAGCGTGAGCGTGAGGAAGGAAAGTGGATGAATGAGCTGGATATGGATAGGGTATGTGAATAAAGGTAGTATCTTTGTGTGCAAACAGGCAATAGTGCCCCCCAAACAAGGTGCAAAGAAGCCAGCGCCTTTGAACAGCTCAATAGCTCTTTATCATGCAAACCTAGAAAGCTGCCTTATCCTGTGTCTGAGCTTTGCTCCATTTAGTTATGTATTTTTTTTACACCAAACTTCCTCAATTTGATGCACTCCAGATGTTGCTGAACTATAGTTCCTCACACCCTTGTCCATTGGCCCAGCTCACTAGGGCTCAACTGGAGTTGTCTTCTAAACAGGTGGGTGCGCTGGGTTGTGGAAGGTTGATCTACACAGACTTGACTTCTCCCCAGGGTCTCAGGCTGGGACCTTTCCCAGCCCTACCTATAGTAAAGATAAAGGGACCCCTGACCATTAGGTCCAGTCGTGACCGACTCTGGGGTTGCGGCGCTCATCTCGCTTAATTGGCCGAGGGAGCCGGCATACAGCTTCCGGGTCATGTGGCCAGCATGACTAAGCCGCTTCTGGCGAACCAGAGCAGCGCACGGAAATGCCATTTACCTTCCTGCCAGAGCGGTACCTATTTAACTACTTGCACTTTGACGTGCTTTCAAACTGCTAGGTTGGCAGGAGCAGGGACCAAGCAACAGGAGCTCACCCTGTCGCAGGGATTCGAACCGCTGACCTTCTGATCAGCAAGTCCTAGGCTCTATGGTTTAACCCACAGCGCCACCTGTGTCCCAGCCCTACCTATAGAAGCTGGGAATTGAATCTGAGATGTTATCCATGCAAAGCCAGATGCTCTACCACCAAGCTAAGGCCACTCATCTTTATCTAGACATTGATGAGATCCTGATGACTGAGAGAAAGGATGAAATAAGAGACATTTGGGTCTGTCAAGTCCAGCATCCTGTTTCTCACAGTGGCCAATGAGATGTTTCTGGGAAGCCCATGAAAAGGAGACACCAGTCTGCCGTTTCAACCTGTCAGAAGTTCTGAGAAGCATCCTGAGTCTCTAGTAGTTTTGGAAAGCCAACAGAATTCTTTTTTGATGACCTAGTGATTCCAGTCACTTGATACAGAACCCATTTCCACATGTTTTGGAGCACCGGCTCTTCACAGTAACTCTGGGAATTTTGTCATTCTCTATAGTTTTGTTCAGTCTTGCCTTTCTTTCAAGTAAGGCATGTTACATTGTTACAGGAAGTTAACAGGAATAGGAGTCCTTGGATGGACTAGCCAAGATGTAACCTAGTTGCTTCAGCAAACTGATCGATTTTGGATCTGCTCTGTGCCTTTTGGATTCAACTTGTTCTTCAGGTCCAACTCAGATCCATTATCCCTGAATTTGTTTAATTATCTTTTATCTTCTTTTTAAACTTTTTGTGTTTTATCCATGTTTGTTTTGCTTTTTTTGTGAACTGCCTAGAGTCCCAGTTCTGGGGGGTGGGGGAGGGGTGGGGGAGTAGGACAACAACAACAATTCCAGAGCTCTACTTTCCCTCACTGACTATAATGAGGAGCTGAAAAACCACTAAAAGTGCCTGCAAGCGGACCAAGTCTGCCAAATTACAGGCATGCGCATTCAGCGGGTTTTCTGTACGGAACCTTTACCATTTGTTTTAAAGAAAAAAAATCTAACTTTTTCTGTCAGAATTGGTTGCAATTTGAAGGCATGTTTGCTCCATCTAGGACAGGGGTCAGCAACTTTTTTCAGCCGTGGGCCGGTCCACCATCCCTCAGACCATGTGGTGGGCTGGACTATATTTTGACAAAATAAATAAATGAACAAATTCCTATGCCCCGCAAATAACCCAGAGATGCATTTTAAATAACAGCACACATTCTACTCATGTAAAAACACCAGGCAGGCCCCGCAAATAACCCAGAGATGCATTTTAAATAACAGCACACATTCTACTCATGTAAAAACACCAGGCAGGCCCCACAAATAACTCAGAGATGCATTTTAAATAAAAGGACACATTCTACTCCTGTAAAAACACGCTGATTCCTGGACCGTCTGCAGGCCAGATTGAGAAGGCGATTGGGCCGGATCCAGCCCCCGGGCCTTAGGTTGCCTACCCCTGGTCTAGGATGTCAATGGCCAGGTCACACACAGGCATTTAATGCCAATCCTGGCCTGACTATACTGGCTTCCAATTACGGTAGTTTCCAGGCCCAATTCAAATGCTGGCTTTAAACCTATAAAGCTCATATAATGCTATAATGGCTCAGCACCACAATACCTCAAGGACCGCCTCCCTTATATGAACCGACCTAAACCCGGTAATCATCATTGGAAGCCCTTCTTCCTGTGCCCTTTCCATGAGAGATCCAGAGGGTGGCAACATGAGAATGGGCCTTTTCGGCAGTGACTCCCTGCTTGTGGAATGATCTCCCCAGAGGGGCTTGCCTGGTACCTTCATCACATATTTTTAGATGCCAGTCAAAAACATTTCTCTTCTCCCAGGCCTTTGGCTGATGAAACAATCTACACACAATAGAAGATTTTACCAATTTGGAGGTGGGTAAAACAGAAATGATTTAACCTCTCCTCATGTGTTTTGGGTAATCTGTCTGATGATTGATGGCCCTGGGCCAGTGGGCAGCAATAAGCTGGCAATCACCAAACAACTGGAAGGTTATTTTGGAGACATACAGTTTTAGAGGAATGGGGACGGGGGCTCCAATTCCTGGCAGCTTAGCCCTTTCACCCTCCTCCAATATTTCGGGGGTAAAAAATAATAAATGTAAAAAATAATAAATCAGGGGACGGAAGATGCAAAGTGCAGAGCTGAGTACAGTGTAGCTTTCGTGGCCTGCTCCTCTCCTCCCACTGCTGCAGAGGGGAAGAAGGGTCAAAGCAGCCCCCCACTGGTGATGGCGGCAGGAAGAGGAGGAGCAGCCACAAGCCACTGAAGCTGCACTGCAGCTGAATTTGGCTCCGCCCTGACTCCTCCTTATGTACTGACACCACATGCATGACGTCCGCCAACCCCCTCCCTGCAATTGCCCTTGCAAGCTGGTGCCTCTGAATGGAGATGTTATCTCCAGGTAGGGGTGAGAGCAGTTCCCACTTGAAATACTTGGGAGCTGCTGCCCATTAGTGATGCGAACCAGGTGGAAGTTGGTCTGACTTGCTAAAAGGCAGCTGTCTATGGTCACATCCACACCATACATCAAAAGCACTCTTAGACTATTTTTAATAGTCATAGCTTCCACCAAAGAATCCTAGGATTTGTAGTTTGTTAATGGTGCTGAGAGCACTGGAGGATGAAGGTGGGGGCAGGGGGGCAGCCTCTCCCGGGTGCCATCGGGGGGGTGCCATCATGCCTGCGCCCACTCCCCCTGCAATGCTCGGCCCTCACCGTGCACCCCTGTGATGCTCGCCGCACCCCCCCCCGGGATGCTCGATGCTCGCCACGCACGCCTGTGATGCGTGACGCTTGCCGTGCACCCCCGATGCGTGCCACGCCCCCTGGGAGGCGTGCCAGCCATTCCTCCAGATGTATGCCGCTCCCAGTGTTGGAGCAGGTAGATTCACCACTGGCCGAGAGTTAGAAGGAGACCCTTCAAAAAGTTACATTTCTCAGCCCCCTTAACCAACTACATTTCCCAGAATTTTAGGCGAAAGCTATGACTGTCAAATTAAAAGAGTGCTTTCACTTTATAGCATGGATATGAGTGGAGTTAACTTATGCAAAACTTACAGGGAAAGGAAATAGGGTGATTCATCCATCACTACTTTTCAGAGGATTACACTGGAGATAAACACACACACTTATTTTTAATCTACTGAATCCTAGATCTGATATGTGCTTTTGGTGATGCTGCGCATCTTATTATAGGCTTACTTGCTGCCACTTAATTTTTTTGGGTCCTGCTTTTTACTGTTTTATTGATTTGTATTGTATTGTATTGTAAGTGGCACGGAGAACATTTGCAAAGTGAATTGTTCCAGTGCCACAGTAAAACAACAACAACCCAATTCTGTGACATCAGCTTGACTCAGCAAAACAATCCACAGAGCAACTTGACAGGAGCCCTTTACCAGAAAAGTTTGAGTCAGCAACACTTTCCCCACACTCCATCTAATAACATGGATTCTACTATAGCCATGGACATCCAACTGCACTTAATCTACTCTTTTTCAAGACTACCAGTGTGATCTTACAATGTTTACTTTGAAGTAAGTCTCAAGCAGCAGAGGTGAATTTAGGGCATGGAGCCTTGGGGGTGCCATAGGGGGTGCTGCAAGAATGGAAGGTGAGAGGTGGGGGGGACACCAAATTTTGGTGTTGCACAGGGTGCTGCTGAAAATTGAGACCCCGAGGTCTGTCACTGCAACCAGTCCTATGTTTTGCTGGCATCTTCTAAGAAAGAAAGCATGACCACCACCACCAGCAGATACTATGCGATGATCAATGGGTGTCTCCAATCCTCCACTTTTTCATCAGTTCTTTGGTGGCACATGTCACTGGATCTCATGGTAATGGGTCAGCTTGTTGAGTCAGTTCAAGCTCCATTCAGCCCCAATGAACACAGTGGGACTTACTTCTGAGCACATTGAGCTGGTAATAGTGATGGAAGAATTTGTCCATTTTGCTTTCCCCTGCTTTCTTATTTTTCCAGTCTTAAGTTCAGGTCACCGCATTTCCACAGCAGTCTGCAATTTTCGTTTTTTAGAGAGAAAAAACATGTGGCTCCCTGGATCTTTGTGGAAAGCATCAAAGAAAAGAGATTTTGGATTATTACAACCGAAAACCCAAAAGAGAGCTTAACAAAAGCATTGGAAATAATAAATAACTATGGGAAAGTAGCCGGTTTCAAGTTAAACAGTTCCAAAACCAAAAGTATGGTTAAAAATCTCACGGTGAAAGAAAAAGAAGAAATCGAAACTCTAACTAAACCTAAAGTCTGCCAAAAATAAAATATCTCATAATCTATATAAACACCAAAAAATATTAATCTTTACCAATCTTTACCAAGACGTGGTCAGAATTTTTTTAAAAAATATGAAGATATGGAGTAGACAGAAATTATCTTTTGGGGGATGGATTTTGATAATTAAAATGAATACCCTCCCAAAAATGCTTTTTCTTTTCCAGAGCATTCTGGAACAGGCTGCATAACATTTTGGCAAAAAGAAATATCTAAATTCATTTGGGAAGGATGGAGACCTAGAATTAAGCACAAATTGTTAATTGACGTTAAAGAGAGGGGTGGATTTGGCCTTCCCAACCTGAAGCTTTATTATGAGGCAGCCTGCCTATTCTGGATAAGGGATTGGTGTCTACTCAAAAATATGAACTTGCTTGATTTGGAAGGGCATGGCAATGTTTTTGGTTGGCATGCTTACCTTAACTACGACAAGACTAAGGCACACAAGGCGTTTCTGAATCACATTATTAGAAAAGCGCTATATACAGTTTGGATAAAATATAAAGACCTGATTTAATATAAAACCCCACAGTGGATCTCCGCCTTGGAGGTTAACGCAGTAAAGAAAAAGAATAGGCAGGTAGGCTGGCTCACATATAAGTCATTAATGGAGGAAGGCACCAACTAAAGTTAAAGCAGTATGATGATATGAAAGAACATTTTTCAGGATCGTTACAGTACTTCCAACTAAACGAGACCTTTACACTTAATAAAAAGAAGGGCTTTGCCAAAGAACCCTCTAAATTGGAAACAGAATTGTTAAATAATAAAACTAAGATACTTTCCAGAATATACCGACTCCTCCTTGACTGGGAAGTCAAGGAGGAGGAGGTCAAATCAGTAATGATTAGCAGGGGCGTAGGGGGGAGGGCAGGG